CGTGAATTCACACGAGCGCGAATGCAAGGAAAATCCAAGGAGTAAAAGGGGGGGGGGGCGTATTACATTGGGGACGAAATAATTTCCTGGTGTCCTCCGCAGTCACGAAGGACGAAGAACGGAAGCGAACTGGTCTTTCACAAAGTTTCTTGGACACTCGAAGAAGCTTCTCCCTCTCCTGCGAGAAATTGCCGGATAATGGTCCCCGGTAGACGGAGCGGCCAAGTGATCCTTACGGGATAAAGGGTGTGTCGCACACGTACGTACAAAAGGCGCCTGCCGCGTGCGTGTGTGCACCAGTTTCTACAAAGCCTCCCTGCTCTGCTCCTTGCTCCTTCCTCCCTCCCTCCTACTCCTCCATAGAGAATCTCAACGGAAAGACCAAATCTCTACATCGTCCTTTTCGACGTAATGATTGCATCGTGCGGCGCTTCGCCCTTTGCTACGCGAAAGCGGCCCACCCTCGTGTATTTCGTCGCTCGTAAATGTCAGTTAATATACTCATGTAATTGACTCATGAATAACTCGAAACTATTCGTAGCAATCAATTGTGCGCGTGTCTACATACACACGCAATTACAATACATTAAAGTATAAAACTATCATATCGTCATAAATATGGTTTGCATGCGTGTGCGTCGTATCTAAAGAGGTTCAAATTTAAAAAAAATAAAGGCTCCGTGACAAACCTCTGAAATTAGCGGATATTAAAATCTTTATATGTTACAGTTACATCGTGCTAAATCCGCAGACAATCTATTATTATCTATTATTTTTATAATTGTATTACAAATTTGATTAAAATAACATAGCTATAATAACAAAGATATATTCAATCAAAAAATGATAAATTGTCAATTGACAAGTCAGTTTTCAAGAAGCAGAGAGCGTTATTATTAGAGAAAAATGTGCTCGGATAGAGCATGGAAGAAAATTACGAGAAATCAGAAAAAAATGTTAAAACTTTATTTTCGTTATACTGTCAAGGATGAAAACTATTATTTTTGCCGTTATAATAATTTGGCAATGACGTTGCAATTTTTTATGACGGTAACGATAACTAATTGAAAGCTAAGATCGGAAAAGTCACTTTTGAAAAGTAATTTATTGTCACCATTAAGTGTTATCTATTGAAAAAAGTAACTTACTATTTGTAACCCCTCGATTCGTTACTTTTACTCATTACTGTAATGAATTTATTTTTTTCAATAAACAACGCGTGATGGTGACAAGTTACTTTTAAAAAATAACTTCTTCTCTTAGCCTTCAGTTCGTTATCATTACCGTCATAAAAAGTTGCAATGCACATCACTTACTTCCCATCTCTGCACATTGCGTAATAAAAATTATCAAAACAAAAGTAACGATGCTTGGCGAAAAGATTGAATTGAAAGAACCTTAATCTACCGCTAAAATTTTCTTTGCACGTTCAAAGAAAGAGGTTTCTTACTTTTTTTTTGTAAAGTCATAAGTATCCATTTCTTTAGCATTAAGTATAAAGAAGTAGATATCTCTTTCCCTGTTCGCGATATAATGGGGGCTCGTCGAGTTTCTCTCCACTACTGAGAGAGAGACTACACCCACCCACTTGGTAGCAAGCAACCTCGTGATCTCTCCGACCTACTCAGAGAAAGAGAAAGAGAGAGAGAGAGAGAGAGAGAGAGAGAGTGTGTGTGTGTGTGCGTGGGGTGCGCGCGCGCTAGCGACTAACTCGGGATCCCCCGCAGTCGAAGGCACTGGTCCGAGAAATTCAATTACTGCTAAACTTCTCGACCGGAGACTCTCCTCGGTTCTATACTAGTGTAAGCACTCTGTTTCGAAGATCTGCCAGAAAGACATCTTACGTATCTCCCTCGTTTCACAGGTACGTGCGGTACATTCGGAATCGTAATTGAAACCAGGTGCACGCGAAGGGTTTCTATTGTACTGATGGGATACTATCTTTATCGCTCGTGGTTTCTGCTATTTTTAACAACATTTATTATACAAACAATCAATATTACTATAAAGGAGTTGGACCAGCAAATCACATACAGCACCAATAGTTTTATAATAAACTAAGTGTCACAACAATAAGTCGAGAATTAATAAATCGAAAACATCAAGTTATCTTCATTTTTGCCAACGTAGAATAGTCTACGTTTAAAATGAAACCTAAACAATTAACCAATTTTTTTCCTCTATTCAAATAAACTTTTCAAATAATAATTATTAATATTAAATTTATAACGCATATATGATGTGTTCAATATATGTTAAAAAAAAAAAAAAAAAAAAAAAAAACAAACTTTTATATATATTTCACAAATCTTAAAAAAGTGAAGTAATTAAATTTGAGTAATTAAAAATTGTGGATTTAATAATTTATGTATAGTTTTAACCGATGTGTAGTTTTGATTTTAAATTTTCAACAGATTCCTTCACTTTTTTCTATTGTAGATCTAGAAATTGGTGCATTTATACATTGATAGATTGCAATATATTATAGATTCCACACACACGTACGTGTATGCGCGCGTGTGCACACAATTCAAACTTGAATCAATTCTTAATTACTTGAGGAAATTAGAGAACGTTTTTCCTTTCGACCTTTCCGTTTTTTTCATCGGCGACAAACTCCATGTTCTATACGGAATCACGGAAGCATCTCCCCTCGCAGGGAGAAAATGTTCGCTCATGATATTCTTCGTCGACATCGTTTGCCTTTTTTTGCACGCTTTGAATTCGCCAGAAGGCGATCGCTATCAGATCTCATGTCTTCCTCGTCTTTTTCGTTTCTTTTTTGCTCTCTACGTGGTATAATCGAGTACTCTGTGATATACCACAGAAAGCACATAGCTTACAATAAAAATTATATAAAGCGACAAAAAGCATGCACGAAAATAAAAGCAAATGTTTTATGTAATATTTGAGACGTGTGACAGAACATTTAATAACATATAATGTTCTTTTAGATTCTTATTTTTGTACTTATTTTTGCTTATTATTAAGCTTATTGTAAATCTGTTCGCCTTGCTTACACTTTTTACACTCGGCATCTTCGCTTTCTCTCTTTTCAGCGCCAAATATATGTACAATACATCTATTTCATTCTAAATGTAAAAAGTGTAAGAAAGCGTAAGAAAGTGTAAGCAAGGCGAACAGACCTTGTCTACGCAAATAATAAGCTTAATAATAAGCAAATAATTTATTTTAAAAATATTTTCTAACCTAGATTTCCCCCAAAATATATTATTATAAATAATCCATCGAGCGAAAGAAGGAAAAAGAAAAAAAAATAAATCGCACTAATAAGGTGTGAAACGTAATACGGTGAGCAATCAAATGGATTGTCCCGCATACTCTTGTTGCAAGTGCTAGCTGAATGGACACGCGTGTAATAAAACATGACAATGCCTCAGGTAGATTTGATTAATCACAACTATATTTGCAACGCGAGTACAACGAAGGGCAATCTCTTTCGAACGTCACTGCCAGAGGTAACAATAAAATGCGATATGAGCGATAGAAAAGCGCTACATTGATTCGAGTGTTCGTAACAAACCGATAATCGATTACAACTGTGTTGAAATAAAATGATATCGGCTGAAAAAGAAAGAAAGAAACTTATTCTGATATGTGAGTAGAAATGCGTACCTATTCCGAATAGAAATGTCTTTCGTAACTTTTTTTCACATGTCTACATTTACTATTAAAGGCGAGTTCTTTGATCTTAACATTCACCGCGTTTATGTAAATGAGAAATGCGTGTAATGCGAAATTAATATATAAGAACCTACAAAACAATAACAAAGATTTTCAAATATACGATTGCAAGCTATATGTGTGTGTGTATAAGTACGATGAGATATCTGTTGTCGAAATTGAAATGAACAAGCTGGGGAATTTAAAGAAGAATTGTCGATACACAAAGGTGTCAGCAAAGTGGGAGAGCGTGGATTTATCAGAGCTAGGAGCGAAAGCGTGCTTGAGTGTGTGTGTGTGTGTGTGTGTGTGTGTGTGTGTGTGTGTGTGTGTGTGTGTGTGTGTGTGTGTGTGTGTGTGTGTG